AGGCCGGAGCAGACCGTCCAGAGGAGGGGGGCCAGAGCAGACCGTCAGAGGAGGGGGGCCGGAGCAGACCGTCCCAGAGGAGGGAGGCCGGAGCAGACCGGAGCAGACCTTCCAGAGGAGGGGGGCCAGAGCAGACCGTCCAGAGGAGGGGGGCGGAGCAGACCGTCCCAGAGGAGGGGGGCCGGAGCAGACTGTCACCCGGTGGGCCAGGCTGGGACCGGACACAGGGAGGAGCGTGGGTTTCGTCCCCGGGGCTTGGACAGAACTAAACTCTGCCCAAGGACCACAGAGTGGGTGTTCAAGAACAGTACTTCAGGGGTTCAGAGATGCATGCCGGAAAAGGAACCCTAGCCAGGTGCCTGGTTTTGTGTATTGGTTTTGTGATTGGTTTTGTGTGTTTCGTTCGATTCTAAGATGTTGGAAGTGCCTGAGCAGAGTCTGTGGGTGGGAGCACAGGAATCGTCTCGTGTTTCTCAGTAGAATGTCCCTGGATTTGGGGACGCTTCCCTGACACCTTCCCACTCAGCGCCAGCAGTATTCCTAAACACTGTAACAGCAAAAAACACCCCCTCATACCGCCCCAGCACCCCGAGGAGAGGTCTGCCCTCATGAAGGCAGCTGAGCTGGAGCAGACAGGTGGTGAACAGCCCCCAGAATCTAAGCTTACCTGACTCAGATCCCCAGGGTGACAACTTTCAAAGTGTCCCCAAGCTAGCAGCACCAATACCTGGGGACCTGTTAGAAATGCACCATCTCAGGGACCCACATCAGAGCTACAGAGTCAGAAATCCTGGGGTTAGGCCCAGCCACCTGTGGTTTTAGTAAACCCTGAGGAAGGATAATTCTGGTGATGCTCTAACATGCATGTTTGGGGGGGGGGGCTGACTTCCACACTGGTAGCCCACCTCCTTTCCTTCCCACCGCTGCCGGTGGGCTTGGTCCCCAAGCTGAGGAATTAGAAACCAAGCAAGGAGGCAAAGAGCGGGGAGTCGAGCCCAACTGGAGACAACCCCACTTGAGTCTCCCACTTCTCGGGGCTCCAGTGTCCGTAACAACGTGGGAGGACGATGGTGGAGAATGAGCCAGACCAGACGTCCTTACCTGGAGCCCACGAAGGCCTTCAGGGACCCAGGATCCGCATCCCCCAGGCCTGTGTGTGGATGCAGGTTCCCGCAAGAGCAGCCGTGCTCACCGCACCTTCCCAAAGGTGTCACCAACTCTACAGGTGAAAGACTACAGGCCTGAGGATTGCAAACGCTAAAATTCCTGCATTCCGTGCGAAAGAGAAAGGCAACCAGAAATGAATCCTCATCAGAACCGTTGAGATTGGGAGAGTGCTTTGTCCGCCTTCACCAATAAACAAAAGGGACAATTGGGTCCCACTGAAAAAAGGGCTTGGATCCGAGGCCGCCGGCACCAACAGGGTTCCAACCCTTCTCATCTCACAAAACACAAAAACCCCAAATCTGTCCCCAGGGACACACAGCGCCTCCCCCAGACCTGAGACCAGTCTGAAAGCTGGAACCTAGGGCAGATTTGTAACCGGCTCTGGGCTCGCTGGTGGTAAAAGGGGTTAAGTGTCAGCACTATGGAGCATTCTGTGGCCACTGCAGCAGTCCCTGACCAGGGAGCTGCCCCAAGTGGTGCAGCAGACCCCTCCTGTCTCCCCGCTGCTCCCCTCAGCTGCTCCCCTCAGCTGTGTATTTCAGTGGATTTGCGTATTCTACTCCCCACTTCTTTGTCTCTGGTTAATCCTCTCATCCCCCACACCTCTGGCCAAATCCCTAGTTCTTGATTGCATAAATAAATCAATCCTTTTTTTTTTTTTTTAAATGTTACAGGCTCCAAACAACAGACACACTACCAACAACAAAACAAGGCTTCCAACGAAGTTCTCTGGGAGAAGGTTCTCTGGGAGAAGGATCTCTGGGAGAAGGTTCTCTGGAGAAGGTTCTCTGGAGAAGGTTCTCTGGAGAAGGTTCTCTGG